ACACCGATCCTCTGCCTTCATATGCTGGGCCCTCTAATTCTGCAGTTACCGATCTTCTGCCTTCATATGCTGAGCCCTCTAATTCTCCAATCTTCTGCCTTGGCCGCTGGGCTCTGTAGCTTGCCCCGCCCTAGAGACATCACCCTGCACGGAGCTTATAGGCTGCACTTCCCCCGACTCACCACCACGGAGGTGCCAATGAGCTCGATGACCATCTGGATCTCAGCCCTGGGGTCCTGTGGAAGCTCCTCCGCTGCCTGAAGTCAGAGATTTGAGTGCCGGTTTCCCAGGGAGGTCCGGCGCATGAACTGCCAGGGCATCCGGATGAAAGTCACACACACCAATACATTGCACGGCATGTTGACCAGGAAGAGGAAGGAGCTGCAGCCGGCATATATATAGGAATAGGTGGACACGTTGGCCCCCCAATCAAAGAAGCACCAGGTACAGGGGTACTGGCAGTCATTTATGAATCATTTATAATATCATTTTTTTTTCTCTTACCTAACTGGTTTGGGGGGCAGCATTTTTTTCGCCCCCCTGGAAAGTTGCGCGCTAGGCAAATGCCTAGTTTGCCTTGCAGTGGATACACCCCTGCTGCAAGGGTCAACTGCTCAGGACCGTCTAAAGAAGAAATACTCACCCGAACCTCGGTCTTGCAGCGGTGAGTGCTCACCTCTCTCCCTCCCTCCGGCTGTGGTATGTCCCTCGGCATCCTCACGTCTAATACTGTGTATTAGACATGATGACCCACTGGTCCTTAGACCACAAGAGCCCGGGGGAGTCTGCGGGGGCCAATCTAGCTGCCGAGAATCAGGTGAGAATGTCTTCTTATTCGGTCCCCTAGGCAAAAACGAGCAGTTTACCTCTTGCAGGGCGGGGGGTTGGGAGTAAGGGGGGGTAGCCTGGGGTTCCTCTTTAACTGCTGCTATATCTTCAAAACTAAGGGGGTTATTCACTAAAGAGTCGAAGGGTCCAGCCGTAGCTTTGGCTGATCCTTCAGCTCTCTTCGGCCGCCGGAGTCCTTCAATTCAGTCGAACCGAAGGGCTGCTGTAAGGGCTATTCACAATAGGACTAGCTGTCACCGCTAGCTCCACCCAATTGATTTTTTTTTTTCTTTTTGTTTTTTTTTTCTTTAAAAAATCTTTATTTTTTTTTAAATTTGACTATTTGTTTAAAGGAGAACTATGGGGTCAGTGTTTTTCCCCATAGTTCTCCTTGGGGTAACGGGAGGACACAAACTAGCGTCCTCCCGTTACCCTATGCTCAGTATACCACGAGCTACAGCTCGCGGTATACTGAGACGCCGGAGCGGATCTCGACGTAGATGATGGGATCCGTCCAGCTGCGTGAGGGACAGCTGGCTCTCCCTATCTAGAGGCAGAGCCAGCTGTACCCGCCCCCTCCCCCGTCCGTTCCGCCAGTCAGCGCTGGCAGATCGGAGCGGGGGCGGGGGGGTTGGGGAATCCAGCCCTCCCCCTGTCACGGCAGAGAGCCGTGACAGGATCGAGAGGTGAGCGAACGCCGGTATGTGTTCGCTCACCTCCCGATCTACTGAGCCGACCTGTGACAGTCTCATTGTTACAGGTCGGCTAGAACTATGAGGTTTTACATATTTTTTCAACTTTTTTTTCCCCTTTCACTGATTTCCTATTCTGCTCGGTACCACGGAGGTACGGAGTAGATTAGCCGAGCTTGGCGGCATTCGGCTATTCGCTCAATGTCGTTTGGCCCTTATGTGAATAGGAGCGAATGGCAGCAGGTGAGCTGCCGTAGCTTCGGCTCAACCGATCCAGATATCGAAGTCCATCTGCACTTCGGCTCAGTCGAACATGCAGAGCATGTTTGGCTGACCGAAGGCAGCCGATGTACGGATGGTTTCAGCCGATGTACAGCTGAAATCTGCCGTACTGAGCCAAAGTGAATAGCCGAACAGCGCCCGGCTCACTTCACTTCAGCTGGGCTATTCACTCGGCTGCCTTCGGCAGCTTTGTGAATAGTCCCCTAGGTCTCCTATTTTCTGAGCTACAAGTAATTTCTACGACTTTGCCTATTGACCCAAATCTCTTGGCGTCCCCCCACCACCATCAGTGCCAAATCTTTCCTAAAAGAAATATAGGGGGGGCTGACATTGCTGACCTCCTGAGAATGCTGGTTGCTTGGTTAGTATGCTGGTCTTTTGGCTTCGGTACCTTCACAGATCTGGAACTTTGTCATTCTGTAAAGTCAGATCATAGTAAGAAGCCCTTATCTGCAGGTTTGTTCTGGTCAGCATGGGTTGGGTCGGGTCATGGTGACAGCCAGGCTTCTGTCAGGAATTCCCTAACATTTATTTGGTGACTATAGCACATCTTCAGCCGGTGCATAATTGGGCTTCCTACCTTAACTAGAGAGTCATTGTTCACGTGACTTCCACATCTTTCCATGCTTGCTTTTCCATATTTTGATTTTTACATTTCATGTCCAGGTTTGTTTTTAATGCTCCCTCTAGTGGTTGCCTAGCTAACGTGCGATATGCTCAAGTAGCCATTCATGGAAACAGTTCTTCTCAGACAGGTCAGATCTGGACCATACACAGGGCCGTCTTTAAACGCGGGGCAGTTGCCCCGGGCCCAGTCATTGTTACACATGCAGAATCACACACAGACACGCAATAGGTTGAACTCGATGGACCAGTGTCTTTATTCAACCTCAAATACTATGTAACTATGTAATGTGCAAGTATATCTATATATAAACTGAAACAAGACTTCTAAGTAGGGATGAACCGATACTGATACTAGTGCCAATACCGAGTATTGGCACTCATACTCCCCCACATGCTCCGATAACTTCCCCGATACCAGAACGTCCGGTCAGAGGGAGATTTCCACTGACTAGCAGTGCCATAGGGGAAATGGAGCCGGCTTCCCGGGAAATCAGGAAGGCAGGTGGCAAGTAATGACCCGCCTCCCAGCTACCTGATTGGCCGGGAAGTCGGCTCGATGCTGATTGGCTGGGAAGCCGGCTTCCCAGCCAATCACAATCAAGCCGGCCAAACAACATGGAGCCAGCTTCCCGGTCAATCAGGAAGGAGGGTGGCGAGTAATGACCCGCCTCGCAGCTTCCTGATTGGCTGGGAAGCCGGCTCGATGCTGATTGGCTGGGAAGCCAGCTTCCAGGCCAATCAGCATCGAGCCAGCCGAACAGCCGGCTCAATGCTCATTGGCAGGGAAAGCCGGTTTACCAGCCAATAAAAATCGAGCCGGCCAAACAACATGGAGCCGGCTTACCGTGCAATCAGGAAGCCGGGTGGCATGTCATTACCCGCCGCCCGGCTTCATGTCAGCGGAAGCACCGGTATCGGTACTCCGTATCTGCGAGTACCGAAAGCAAAGATATCGGTACCAGTACTTGATACCGAAAAACTGGTATCAGTGCATCCCTAAATTTAAGACTTTGACACTCGTGATCTAGAGACTATAGTTTCCCTTTTACACTAAAGTGAACCTGTGGTTAGACCACACAGGGCACTGCAACTATATATTTACCTTCCATTCGCCCCCCGGCAATTCCGGTCAGCCCAAGGAACAACTGAAGGTCTATGAGTCATTGGACTTGTGGCTACAACTGTGGGCTGTGGACTCCATATTCCACCTGCTGATGGGCCCAGCACAGTCACAGCCAGCAGCTCCTGGTGCCTCATGGAGCAGCGGGGAACAGAACGGTAGATATATGCTGGGTAGGGGATTAAACCGAACCCGTTGCTTTACCCTGAATGGTAAAATCTCAGGTTTGCTTCAAGGCCAGAAGTTTGGTTTCTCCATGTTAATGCCCCAAAAACCCTCACCTGTCATGTACTGGCCACAAACCTTGCTGGTCTTGCCATAGACAACAATGGGACTCAAACACAGCGGAGAAGTGGGAAGCAGCAGCAAAAATATTACAGCCTTTAGAGACAGGCGATCCACACCGAGGGGAGCAGTGAGGCGCTCACCTCCATCCTGTTCATCTTCAGCAAAATACACCAAATGGTTGAAGCACCGGAAGGACTATGCCCTGTGTCTGCCGAGAGCCCTGGCATTATATTCCGACATTTGAAGTCAGATATAACTCTATGTTCAGCTTGTCACCACCTATTGAAATGTGACACCTTCAGAATTGAAAATTTTGCCTCACTCAGGGCCGGATTTCCCACAAGACCAACCAAGGCCCGGCCTCGGGGCAGCAGGGGTGTGGAATTCCTATCTCCCGATGTAAGGGTAGCTGTTTTCTACATTTAACCCGGCTTTGGGCAAGCAGAGCTAAACGAGGAAGCCGCCTCTTGTTTTTTACAAGGGATCTCGCCGATGTCACTGAGATCATTTGCAGGTCTGTCATTCTCCATGGGGGGGTTTTGGCGGGTAGGGGGGCGCATTGAGGAACCTGGCCTTGGGGCAGCAGAGAGTAAATCCAGCCCTGCACTCACTCGAGCGTTCTTCCTCTTCTGTCATTTCAGCAACAAGTGTAGACTCTCCCCCCTCGGCGGGTGCGCAAGGGACGATCATAATGGAATATAAAAGCAGGATCGCCCGTAGTATACGTTTTGTACAGAAGTTTAGAAAAAGGATTAGTAGACACAATATATATGAATGGGATTGAGGACCTGATGATTGTCTGGAGCTCACAATCTCTGCGCCGTCACCTAAAATTCATCATCTCGCATTGTGCTCAGATTATTCCCATCGCGGAACTGTAGGAACCGGTTGCGTTTCCATCCAGGTTTTGGCGCGGCCGACGATTTGCTGACTCTGCGTTTTTCCCCCCAAATGTGTTTGTTTCTTTTTTCGATCAGCAGAAAGCTGATCCCTTGTTGATTTTGGCTTTGTACGGTTCATCTTTATCATATTAGTCCGCATTGTGCTCAGATTATGTTTCCAGCACGGAATCGGTTATGTTTTTGTCGGATCTTTGGCACGGCCGATAATTTGCTGACATTGTATTTTCCAAATGTGTATGTTGTTTCTTCTTTTTTTTGTAACAGTGGAAAAATGATCCGTTGTTGATTTTGGCTTCTTTTTTCATTCTTCAGCAACTTCCCCGGTTCTGCGAAATGTTTGTCTTGGATCGGCAATACATAGAGCTTTGCCTGTTGTGCTCTCTCTCTCCCTGTTAACACATCCATGATGTCCGTGATACTCTAGCCGTTATCACCGCGGCGCATCGAGTCTTTTACCGTCTTCTATTGGCAGTGCGTTCTGGGTCCTGAAGAATAAGATTCGGCTTTTGAAATGACCTTTGGTACTTGAAGTGCAGATTCGGGTTAGTCAACTTCCAAAAACGAAATGTTTTTTGGGTTTTTTTTTTTTTTTTCTTCTCTTTAAGTCTCAGTGCACTTGAAAAAGTCCAAAGTAGGTGAGGTAGGGCTCGACTTTGACCACGGCTCTCGGGAGGGTGCGGATGCGGAGGAGGGAGCCGGGGGAGACTATGACGAGCCCGGAGACGCTGCAGGTCTTCCTTTTGGGGTCGCCGATGCTGGCCACCGTGGCGGAGAATTCTTGCAGGCAGCGGAAGATCAGGTTGTTGTCTAGGATCAGGTCCAGCTTGATGTAGCTGCTGCGATCCTCGTTGAAATGGACCTGACAAGAGATGCAGTATTATTATTGTTCGTTATGGGCGCCTGGTATGTATAGAGCGATAGCACATTGTGGTACAATATAACCATAGGGCCTCATTCACACGAGAAACGTGCGGCACGTACAGCTCCTTGCTGCGCGCACGGCTGTATCGGGCCGCTCCCGGGAAGGACAGGTGCTGCGTGTGATTAGTACGCAGCCCCCGTCCTTCTCTATGGGACTACGCGGCCATATGCCCCCCTACGCTCACCCGCCCTGCACGTCCTTGCGGGTGTCCGTACTAGTACGCTGACAGGATGGATCCTGTCTGCGTCCGAGCCGGGACACCCGCACCCGTACGGACCTGCACTTGGGGTGAGTGTAGGGCGGCGTACGGCCGCGTACCCCCATAGAGAGGGACAAGGGCTGCGTACTCATCACCCGCAGCACCTGTCCTTCCCGGGAGCTGCCCGATACAGCCGTGCACGCAGGAGCTGTACGTGCCACAGGAGCAGAAAAAGAAGGTGAATGAACCCTGCCTAGACCCAGGGCCGGATTTCCCACAAGGCCAACCAAGGCCCGGCCTCGGGGCAGCAGGGAGTAGAGGGGCAGCAGGGGTGTGGAGTTCATATCTCCTGATGCTCGGGACATGCAGTTCAGGGTGTCGGGCGGGTAGTTGTTTTCTACATATAGCCCGGCTTTGGCAAGCAGAGCCAAATGCACAGCGGGGAAGCCGCTGCTTGTTTTGCACAAGTGATCCCGGCAATGTCGCCAAGATCCCTTGTATGCAGCCTGCAGAAACAAGAATTGCTGGTGACGTCATGGTACCAGCAAGAAGACTGCAGTGGAAGGGTATGTATAGGGTTAACAACAAAAAAAACTGGGAGGGGGCAGATACATGCTGGGAGTAAAAGGGATACTGTATGTTAAAGTATATCTGAATCCCAAATTGGGGAGATTTCCCTTCCTATCCAGGGAATGAGGAGAAATCTCTCCAAAGTGAAGCAAATGCCCTTGTGGACAGTTGTCATTGCAACAGGTGACTCCATTGGAAGACCCCACCCCCTATTTTCCTGCTCGGGTGACAACTCAAAGTTTTGTATTCCTCGTTATTTGTAGTCTTGATGAGAGTGGTCACCAGGACAAGTACAGAGGATGAATCCCCCTCAGGGGGACACAGACAGCGGTACAGAATAATATACAGGGGTTCTTACCCCACCACCACCACCTTTTTGTTGGTTTTTTTGGGGTTATTTGGGAAAAACTGACCTGGCAATATAGGTAATATAGTCCTTTATGAATGACTTTAAACTCCCCATTTCTCTCGTCGTATCTCAGCGGGCTGGTGGAATTTCGCTGGACCTCGGACCAGAAGAGGACATTACCTTCGCTATCTGCAACACAGAAAACAATGGTGGTTGTGGGCCGAACATAAAGACAGCCGGACAGGTGATCCATGGGGGCTACTTACCTGCGTTCATTTCCCTTGCTCCTGTTGATGGCTTCACTGCGGACACATAAGAAGAGAGAGAGTTTGGGACAGACGTAATCACACATTGGAATAAAAGGGGAAAATTCGGGATGTATGGATCAGCGTAAGGCCCAAATCAACTTTCAGTTTAAATCCGCTAAACAACACAATGTGTGCAAAGTCTTACAGTCTATTTCCTTTAAAAAAACAGCCACAAGCTGAGTAGAAAAGCCTGTCCCCGCCAGCATGTTGCATAAAAGGTCCCTTGCTCTCTGTGGGGAAGCAGTGTCCTCTCTGCAGATGTCTGGCACACCTCTTGCTGAGTCAGAGATAGAGCTCTCCAATCAGCAAATCCCATCCTGCCTGATCTATCCTGTACGACCAATCACATTCACTCTTCCAAGGGAAGTCTGACAGGTGCTTGTGGAAAGCTTTGTTTAGTACTGACAAGGCTTCCTGTATGGGAGGGGCAGGAAGGAGCCTGCAGGGGTGTGTTTGGGAACGTCTCCAGTTTTACTGACTCCTGACGATGTTCAGGTTCATGGCGCAGAATCTCACGCTTCTTCCGATGGTGGTCTCAGACCTTCCAACATTTCAAGGTGAAAATAGAAACACCTTGCTCCCCCAACAATAAACAAACAAGTGGACTGGATTTGCGTCCTTTTCAGGGTTTATTGATGCCTATGGTGCTGATTTATGAATCTCCGCCCAGTTTATAGCGGAGCGAATGCCGTTCACACAATACTCTCGCCACTAGGTGGCGAGGAGGAGCATAGGATTTTCCTGTGCTCCTCAGCGCCATCTAGTGGCAGTAGTGATTCAGCCAGCAATGTGCTGGGCAGAAGGGTTTTACATCGGCCCAGAGCTGATAGTAAACCTGAAATCCAGCCAATCAGCAGTGAGCACCCATTTCTTTTTTTTTTTTTTATTGCAGATTGAAATTGCTTTCTTTGTTTTCTGGTCCTTTCAGCGGGTTCATGTGATGAGTAATTGTGCACAGCAGCAGGTGGCCGAAGCCAAGGTACTGGGGAACTAGAAGGCTCAGCTAGCCCTGCCCACCAGGGGAGATGGGATATGTAGTTTATCAAACACCCGTGAGATCGGGAGAAACATGGAGGCGGTCGTGGAAGGAATGGGGAGCCTCTTACCTTCGTAGTGTGCAGCCAGGACGGGGGATTTATTTTTATTGTTTCTGTTCCTCCTGTTTGCTGGAAAAAAAATGAAAATACGGATAGTTTATGACGGAACCACCGACTGAGCTATCGCTGTACTGCGCTGCGGTATATGTCAGAGCTATATACATGTATAATAATAGTGTGTGACTGTGGGGGAGGGGACATAAGAGTGTAAGCTCCTCTGTACAGAGACTGATGTAAATGTGGGGGAGGGGACATTAGAGTGTAAGCTCCTCTGTGTGTGACTGTGGGGGAGGGGACATAAGAGTGTATCTCCTCTGTACAGATACTGATGTGACTGTGGGGGGAGGGGACATTAGAGTGTAAGCTCCTCTGTACAGAGACTGATGTGACTGTGGGGGGAGGGGACATTAGAGTGTAAGCTCCTCTGGTGCAGATCCCGGGAATTACCTGATCGCCGCTGGCGGCTCCGCTCCTCTCTCAGCTTCTCGAACAGGAACTGGTGCTTCTCCCACACATTCTGGAAGAAGATCTGTCCAAGAAAACAAGAGCAATCCTTTCCATGAGACGATCACGAAGCCCCTCCCACAAGTGCAGCCAATCAGAGAACTATCCAGGAAGTACCGCAGCTGCGCTAAAGTCACTAAACCTGCTTCACTGTCCATTGCATTAAAGTGTATGTAAAGCCAAAACAAGATGTGTAGAGATGTGTCTTAGATGTGGATAGACTGGGGGAGGGGTTAGAACCCCTCTTGGGTTTTTACTGTTCTCCCGTGCACCATTAGAGTGATTTTTCCCTTGCTTCCTGTCATCACTGGGTCCCTGTGCTGCTCTGTGCAATGCAGGTAGATCGGGGCAGGTGGATATACATGGAGCTTGCAAGGATGAGCAATAGCCAGCCTCATTTCCTGGCTGGAGGATATCCAGCATCATCTAGCTCTTTCTGTCCCAGTCTTACTGTCCCTGCCCCGCCCCTTTCATTCTTTCAATCATGGAGGCTCACAATATCACATGTGGGCGTTACCTAGGGTGGTGTGTATGCAAATGTAGCATGCCTAGGAACGCCCACTCCTCCAGGCTGATATCCGCCCATCAAGGCATTTTGATATTTGCATAACTCCTCCCGAGACCCAGCCCACTACTTGCATCAGGGCGGGGGCTCTTGAGAGAAGTACTATGTACAGCATCCTGCCAGCCCCTCCCACCAGCCATGATCTGCTGGTGTTGCATAGAGAATTCATAGAGAAGCACAGAGACCCAGTGATGACATCATTGGGACTATCATAGGAGATGTAATGAAAACGGAAAGGTTTTTGTCATTAGCATGTTGATGGGGGG